TACGTCCCTGGTACCCGACAGCGGCTGCCTTTGTATCTTCACTTGTCTTCAATTTGCATTCAAAGGGTACATTGCTGCATAGCCAACTGTCGGGATATACCTTCATATGACTACTCATACAACAGAAAAAAACGTCGCATGGAGTTAGTTAGATCTAAATGGAAAAAAACGATGTATTTCAGCAAATATTAAAACATTTTTGTTTTATTTTAGGCCTTCTTCAAAATACCTATGCCACAGCAGTTGATTTTTTTTGCCGTAAAATCAAAATAGTTTCATCCATGCCGACTTGCAGATCGGTTAGCGTGAGCCCTGACTGAACTCCGCAGAAACATCACATCGATCTTCGCATAGCGAGGTAAAACAAAATGTCGGAAAACTTTTCTTTGAAGCATGCGCATTTGCATAAATGTCTACACACATACGCACACACATACTACACACAATAAAAAACAAAGGAAAAACAGTGAGAGTGATTACAATAGTTCCTATTGCATTACATGCATAGGAACTAAAAAGGTAAGATGAGATACTGTACCGTACTATACTAACAAAAAAGTAACCATTGTGGGCAGGCTATCACAATTTGCTTAGAGAGCGATCTTTGATACATCGCATTTGCATTCACCATAATTGGAAGGAACATCGAAATAGAGGTATTCCTTATTAGTTTTCGAATTATCATCAACGGTTTGCAATCTGTATTTTAAAATTTCCAACAAACCTCCCCCCCCCCTCAATTATTGGCTATGCTACCCCTAGCCCACTTGCAGTGACATCTTATAAGTTTGGCCTAATTTTCATACTAAAATCAGCGATTTGCAATGTTCTACAAAATTCACAATAACCTTGTTGCAATTGATATTACCAATTTAAACTCAACAAAACTGTACAGCTTTATCTCACACCAGCGATGGCGCCATATTTCTGCCGACAAGGGTCCGAAATGTTAGACGGAGGGGTCCAAGGCAGGGGAAGAACGAAGCCTCGGTCGACGGCCCGAAATAAAAACTCCCGTGTGGGTTCACGGGGTGAGTTTTTTATGGCTTAGTATTGTCCAAAATATGCTTTTAGACTACATTAGTAGGAATTGGCATCAAAATAAACGTTATTTTGATAGGAAAATTATCATCATCATCATCATCCTTTAATAATAATAATATTATTATTATTATTATTATTATTATTATTATTATTATTATTATTATTATTATTATTATTATTATTATTATTATTATTATTATTATTATTATTATTATTGGTTTTTATTCGACGACCTAGTTGTGCTTCGGACGAAAGGGGCCTGTCCTGTCTGACGGGGGCCTGTCCTGTCTGACGGGTCCCCAACTGGCGCCACCACTAGCCATCACTAATCATCATTAAATCCAAACGAATTGGCTTTTCTACCACAAGCTACATATCCAACTGCCTAAATGTTCAAATTATTTGACCAAAAAAAATGTGGCATTAGCTTTTTAACGTACAGTACGCCTCAATTTTAACTAATTATTTCGAACTTCTGCCCCTCTGGCACACGTTGCTGTCTATTTGTTGGTCTGTTTCCAGATCGTGATTTTATTACTGTCTTGATTACTTGGATGATAAATAGAAACAACCAGGAACAACACGAAATCCATGAAGCCGTCTGAAAATTATAGAAAATGTGTACATTATTAATCAAATGAGGTACACGTAACAAATCAGACCCGTAGCGTGGGTGGGTTAAGGCGGTTGCGACGAACCGTCCAAAAGATAAGGTCCGCATTCAAAAACTAAGAATTGATATTCGTAGATATATTTACATTGTTCTCCATAGTATCGGATATCATACAAGCCAGAAGTATTTCAAGTCGGCATTTATTAAGCTTTCCCAGCCAACAATATTATGTTATTGTATAATGGTTTCTATGGAAAGGGTTAACTTCCACTGAAACGAACCTCCCACAAATTAAATCGGTTACGCTATGGGCCTGCAAACTCTTATTAATTATTTATTCAACATTAATCATCGACACTGCTATTACATATGTGGTGATACAAAAATACAAGCACAAACGACACCGGCTCATCAGGCCTGTGATGAAGCAGCAGAAGAAAAAAAATAAGACACCTATCAATTCCGCATTAGCGCAAGGTCCCCGAAACTCTGCATTTGCTTTGAACCCAGGAAATAATAGGTAATGCGTCTACAGACTACATAACTTCCTGTTCGCAGGGGTTCCTCATGATTTGGCCGATGATGGTCTGAAGGGATGAATTTGAGGGCTATTCCCCGACGACAACGCAAGATGGCATCGGGCGTTGCTCAAAACCTCTCGAAAGTGATCTTGCAATTCGCCCTCCAAACACCACACATGTGCTCAATGCGGGCACCAGAATTTAGTAACCTTAGGCTATAGACATGCGGTTCTTCATTAAGCCAGTGATTGTGCAACAACATAACATACGGTAATGTATTTGTCCTTTATGATTTCAGCTTACAAAATAAAGTGTGTCGAACATAACATGCTAGTAGTTGATGTGAGTTAACGATTAGCACTTCGGCAGAGAAGCAGCTCCACAAAATAATGAGCTAAGTCGAGTGAAAATATAAATTTCTGGATAATAGTAATATGAATTCCATCCCAAAACTATCTAACTATATTTAAATTAACCAGGACATAATTAGTAAATTATAATAGTGTAATGAATCCCCAGTGTCGAATAGAGTAATAAAAAATAACTTAAGAACTGTTCAATAAACATACAATGCTGTAGTATTTTTTAAATATTCAACTTAAGCTTCTGATGTAACCACTGGGTGTGTACTGAATGAAATGACCTTCGAATAATATTTTTGTTCTTTGTTTTCTGTTATGCCAAACTGTTATACGTTATTGCGTATCGGTTTTTGTTTTGTTTTTTTTGTTTTTCTAAAAAGGTGAAAGCCTGTCGTTCCCGTGTAGAACATGTCCTCCTTAGACAGTGACCTGATAGCTAAAGTGCTAAAGTGTTAGGTCTACTTTATAACAGTTTCCTTTATTCTGTCTTCGAATCGACTTGTCAATTGGTATTGTGTAATGAACATGCTTTAGTAGTAACACATGATTGCAAACTTACCTTGGCACGTTTGAGACGGTTAATAAAGTTTATACCATCAACATCTGAAATGTCTGTAAAAATTCTGAATCCTTCGCATGGGCTACAAGATTAACCACACAGTTTTCAAGTTATTTGATGTAATTAAACAACACGTCATAGAACACCAAAATTCAAAAAAAAAAAATTAAAAAGGAAGCATTTGTACATATGACAATTAAAATCACATTTACAATGGTTCGCAGGGACTACAAGATTAAACACATACCGTAAAGTTTTAAAAGCTGTGTGACGTAATTGTATACACCAGAATATACAAACATATATTAAAGGAATTACTATCTATTTCTATGCATTTAAACCAACTTGAACATACCTTTCATCAGGTATAAAATCTGGTTCTCGCAGTTCATTACATAATTTACGG